CTATTAAAAGGACATCAAAAATCAGATATGAAGTATGAAGAAGGACAAACTGCCCCAACAATACAGAAAAACAGGGTTTGTTTTTGAAAGTGTTCTGGATCTCCTTCTTCTTTTTTTCTTGTGAGCTTTTGGGTTAATTGTCTTACAAGGGTTTTGTATTCTTCTTGGATTGGGATAATCCTTGAAGGGGTTGAGTGAGTTGAGATTCACTTGTCCCGCAAGCAAGAGTTTATTCCGGTTTAATCTTGCACCCGTAAGCAAGAGATTTCTAGTGGATTGAACTCTCGAGCAAGGAGGCTTGGGGAGTGGACGTACTCCGGATTGGAGGAACCACTATAAATCACGGCTTGATATTCTCTTCCCTCTCTTTTATTTTTCTGCACTATATTACTCTTGTTTATTCTGCACTATATTACTCTTGTTTATTTTGCACAACAGCTTATATATGTTGAAAACTTCATTCACGTTTTTATAAAGGAAATAAAATGAGTTTTATATCTTAGGAATTGAGGGGTAGCTAGCTGGGATTACAATAAGGGTACATATGGCCCCTATTCGGCTGTCCCTGTTCCCCCATGGGGATACCTATCACCATTGTTGTCAAAATCTAGATTTAAATCTCAAAATCTAGATTTAAATCTTAAAATCTTACGATTTTACGATTTAAGCAAGACATTTCGTGTAAAATCTATACTAAAATCTGAAATTCATAAAATCTGGGGATTTCACGGTAAAATCTAGATTTTACTGTGAAATCAGGTGAAATCAGGTAAAATCTCGATTTTACCTTCTATTTGGCAGCTAGACTTTTAGCCTATTTCCTTTTGGGCTTCTCATCTTGAGTTAGTGAGTTTTGATTAGATAACTCATAAATTAAGCTCATTTTTTATTTTAAAAGTCCACAACTCACATAACCCAACCACAAATTAACATTTTAATCTGGAATTCGGGACAAATTTGATTTAACCATCTAAAATTCTAAATTTAAGTCATCTTTTTCGTTTAATTTATTTGTGTTGTTGGATATTTAGATTTTGATTAGCTAATTTCAGGTTTCTAACTCTAAATTTGATTTATTGTTATTTAATTTTGATTTTATATAACTTATTATATATTATATATTAAATTTTGTAAAATCTCGATTTTACCGATTCGATTTTACGATTCCGATTTCACCTAGCCAAAACGATTTTAGGTAAAATCTCGATTTTGATAACCTTGCCTATCACCCTACAATTTTTATTAAAATATAAATTTCATTCCTCAAATATAATTAACTAAAATTTTCAAAAACATAAAATCAAATATAAATTCTCAAGACATAAACAAAGCTCTCTACCAATATAATAACAAACATAAATAACTGAACCAGAACGTGTCCAACATCCAGCAAGGGAGAGCAACTCAAAAGCTTCCAAAATCGATATTTGCTCAAAAAAAAATACTACAATAAATAAATAGTTCTAGTTAACATCATAGAAAAACTATTTATATTATCAGTATAAAGAAAAGGTTAGAAATATTTTACTTTTAAATTATCATCTTCCTGAACATCCAAATCCTCAAAAAGAGTAAAGAAACTTGTAGCATCAATAAAATCTATTTCAAACATAAAAATTTAGATTAAAAATTAAATACCTAATAGAAGAATAAAATAAATATACCATAGAAAAAATAAAAGAAATATAAATTTAATACCTTTGAAATTCACTCTTAACCAATAATCTTGACGAAACATTAATGTTTGTATCGTATGTAGTTTAAGCTTGCTACGATATAGACTAATAACTTTTCTATCAGTATTAAAAAGCTAATTTTGAGGCAATAGTGGATATGAGGAATTGAGGATGGCAAACGCATCCTTAGCAAGTATCTAGAATATGGGAAATCGAATCCTAGTTACCTTCCACCAATTCAAAATATTAAAATTGTTTTCTACTTTAATTGGTAGCACTAATTCTTCCATACATGCATTCAACTTTGATAGCTACCGAACCATCTAGGGACATGTCTGCCTCTAAAAAAAAGCAAGAACAAATTGCTTTTCCAAATTGCCGCTTGAGACAAATGACCTATGGTTTAACGCATGACATCATCACACTTTAACTTCCAATTAAATATAGGCTTAGGTGACAAACAGATTCCTAATGTGATGACATCAGTTGTTAAATAATGAGTCATTTGTCTCAATCAATGATTTAAAGAGATAATTTGTCTTTGTTTTTTTTTAGAAGTGTATTCGAGGGCTCAACTCTTAAATTTCACAATTGAAGTACTACCTTTAGAAATAAGAAATACCTTGAAATTGTAAATAAAGTCAAATTTTTAACACTTTTAGAGGAGGCCATAAGGAGGTCATCACTAGCATATGGCTAGATGTTAGCCTATTTTTCTCATTTTGGCTAGACTTATATTGATACATATCAACTAAGTCACAATAAAGTTTCTTGATTTATTTCCTCAAGTTTTATTTCTATAAATAAATTTTTAGAAAAAAAAAAAAAAAAAAAAAACTCAAACTCTACCAACTTCATTTTGTATCTAGGATCGAAAACAGTTGTTATGGCCATCAGCAACAAATGGTGTTAGGGTTAGGAAAGTGAGAGTCAATATGACTCCAATGAGTAATGGCTAGGGTTAGGAAAATGAGAATCAGAATGACTTGAGTAAGGATGGGGGTAATGGGTTGAAATGGGAGTGGTTATTGGGTTGGGTTGAGTTGCAATTGGGCTAGAATAGAAATGGGTTGAAATTAAGTTTGAGCGATGGGGTATGGACTATAGGCCCTATGGATTAGAGTTTCCTACTTAATAAATAATACAAAGTGTTTCTCGTTTTAACTCATTTATAAATTTAAAATCTGATAGGAAACATGAATTGAATTTGAAGATTTAATTGATAACTGCACTCTATTTTGTCTTACTTTTTATTTTATCTGGCCTTCCTTTTTATAAGTTGGTAGTAGTCTAAGATAATCCTTTATGAGCATTCATGAGATATCCAAATCTAATAATTTTATTTTTTTTAATTTAATATGTATTGTAAAAGAGATCATCTTTTTTCAGTAGAAATAAGAGATTTTAAGTTTGAATCGCATGGCATGCGAGTGAGATAAAATAAAAAATAAAATGTGATTATCTTTTATTGTGCAATCAAAATAAAAAAAATATATTTATTCACTCATTTAATTTAGAGTTTTTTACTTAATAAATAATACAAAGTATATTTTTGTTTTAACCCATCTATAAATTTGAAAGGAAAAAACAAAACATTTTTAAACATAAGAAAAAACACAAAATAAAGAAGCGAGAAGAGATCGCAGCATGCAGAGATGCAAATTAACCTTTTCCTTTCTTCTTCCCTAATTCTCTCATCTCTCTCCTTTCTCCCCATCGCCATTGCCACTTATAGTGACCTCGAAAGTGAACGTGGTGCGTTCTCTTTTTCTCTCAAATCATTTTCCTTGCCCACAGCCTTTTTTTCGTTTGTTAAAGACGTTAGCAATTACCTGTTATCAATATTTGAATTCTTACTTCAATTCAAAATTTAAGAGTCTCTCGTCACAAATGAAAATATTATAATTACAATATTATATAGTATTATAAGATTATAATATAATATGTTATTATATAATTTACCTTTTATATTTAAGAATTCACTCGTAATATTATACTATCTATTTGTTTAATTTTATATTATATTTTATTTAATATCATATAATTTACCCTTTACATTTAATAGTTTACTCGTAATATTATATGTATTTATTTATTTAATATTATATTTTATTTTATTAATATCATATAAAAATTATAAATTATAAATTTATAATTTTATATGATATTATAAATATAACGTTATTGTATTATAAGATAGTATTATGTTAAATACACAAGTAGTTGCAGAGTTATCACACGTTTCTTGTCAAGCCCGTTTGTGTTTGTTATTAGCAATATCACAAGACTTAAGACTTGTTAAATACATATTTAGGTATTTTCTAATAATATAATTATTATTTACATTATGTAATATTTTATAATATATTATTATATATATATTTATATACATCACTTTAAAAGATGCACGTGGATACAGTTAATGCTTGAAAAATGTGGCACTTTCAGAATAAAGAAGAAAGACAAAAGGATAAAGATAGAAAAAAAGGAGTGGTTGAACTTTTGGTAACTGCTTTATCTTATCTGAAATTGAAAGTTGAATTTGAGTATAAGAAAATTGTCTCAAACAGGTAAAATGCTTGAAACATTATTTAATATAAATATCAGATACAGGAGTCATAATTTTCAATTGGTTGTATCTGTTTCACACAAGTGTAAAAAAGCCATCCTTCGGGTATTGTAGATAAATAAAACAACTCCAAAAACAGATCAACCTATTCTAAAAAAATACTTCGAGTTTTCTTCATTTTTCTTGAACTTTTGCACTGTATTTTTCAAGTTTTAATATACTGATTGGATAATTAAAGTTTATTTTAGTAGACATTATATCTTGAGAATAACACTTTTTACAGAAAGGTGAAAACTATTATCTCTAAAAAAAATTCCTAGAATTATCTTACCCACAACAATTATATCTACAGCTCTATGCATACAACAAGACATTCATATGTTATGGATGTGGGCGCGTTAAGCAGGGAAATACCATAGTTCATTTCGTCGCCGAAGCAAGTGTGGCGCCTGAGGGGGCCAGTTCCTCCTGACCTTATAAAAACCCTAAAGTTTGGTCCCTATATTTTATTTTATTATTTTTATCATAATAACCAAAAAGTATTAAGGAAATATCATAACCAAAAAGTATTAAGGAAATATCATAACAAAAAAGTATTTTATCAAACCAGTGTAACACTAAACAATGGCTTAAGAGGGTTCCTGATATTAGGGAAGGGTTGGTGTTTTACGCTAAACTGCAAAACATTGAACTCATATCATAATTCCATTTTGTTTCATTTTTTTTATATACAGTTAAATACAAGATTTCTTATAATTTCTACAATTGTATTTGATTTTTTCCTTTTTCCCTTTCGGGTTTGGATGTGTTATTGGTGGGCAGGAAATGAACCTCCATTCACATACATTGAAAGTACCGGTAAGAGACCAAGCAATTGGGGAAAACTCAATCCAGATTGGACAGCTTGTGGAAGTGGAAAATTGCAGTCTTCCCATTGATGTAACGCGTGGCGAAGCAGTGAAAATTAATCATCAGGGAAATTTGAAAACTTACTACAAACCAGCTACAGCTGTTCTGAAGAACAGGGGACATTACGTAATGGTACAATTCCGAATTTCAACTCCAAACAATCATATTCCTTTCAACGGATCCGTTGTCATCATTGATGTATTAATCTCGGTTCTTGTCTGAATCTTTTTAGGTGACTTGGGAAAATCAAGTTGCTGGAAAAGGGAACATAAATGGAACCGATTATAAATTGATTCAATGTCATTGGCTCTCACCGTCGAGGCACATGTTCCATGGATCAAAGTAAGTTTTTGGGTGAAGAGTTCAAAAATTTATAATAGTTAAGCACACCAACCGTTGCCAACGATTTTTGTTGGTTTTTTGTCTATAGGTTTTGACCTGGAGATTCACATGGTTCATTCAGGTGACAATGGAGAGATCGCGTTGATCGCAATGGTTTACAAATTTGGTAACTCAGATTCCTTCCTTTCAAAGGTATTTGATATTTTCTAGGAAAAATGAGTCAGAAATATTCTTTTCAGTCTAAACCAGCGAAATATAAAACCCCAACACTAGCCGAAATGTTAATAATGCTCTTTAACCAATTCCTATACCAAACCAATTCATTAAGGGTATCATTGACCTTTGAGTCCCGAACCGAGTCTCCATGTACTGAGGGTGTTATTTGGACAGTTCTCAACAAGGTCTCCTTCACTTACTAATTACTAACATTTATGCTTAATTTTTATTTGCTCCATTCATGATTTTTCCTGACATTTGCTAATTTTCTGGTATAGGAGAAGACGCTCTCAAGGAAGTAGAAACATTAAGGGATGCTGTTCATGATGTAAGTCTTAATTCCTTATACTAAATGCTTTCTTAGAGTTTTTGGGATATATGTAATTAACAAACTAACAACCATCAAATGGGAAGATGAACCTAACATCCAACAAAACTCTCCATATTTTCATTTTTATTGACTAAGAAACTAGTGTGCTTGGCTCTCGCAAAGATTTGAACTTTCAGCTTTGAATTTAGTAGATTCTAATTAGATAAGTACAACTCAACTAAGCTTTTATTAGTTTTCAAAACCTCAACCTATTCCTTTAACCAAAAAAGAGAAAAAAGAAAAAAAAGAAAAAAAAAAGAGAGGAAAAATTAAGACATCATTCTCACGTTTGTTTGTTAACTTTGAATTGATTCCTCGTTTCTGCAGGGGTTTGAATCAAATGCAAGGCCAACTCAAAACCTAGACGGAAGATCAATTTCTGTCTACTTCAACCAATGGATTTGATGGGGTATAGCCCTACACTAGTCTAAATTCTTCTATATAAACTATAGTACAGCCTTATTTCTACAATAAAGATTACCAATGCAAGCAAGTAACCAGGCTCATTGACTCACCATTACAATATAAAGGAGTATCTGAATTAGTTGCTCATATGTAATTGATAGTGATATCTACACAAACTCCCCTAATAAAAATAGAAATTCCACATAGCATAATTATGTCATTGGTTGTAATTTAATGTAGCAAGGGAAACTACAATAATGCAATAGCAGAATTCAACAACCAGCTAAAAGATCAACATACCATCACAAACAAACAGAAATCCCAAAAACAAACAAGCAAGCTTACTTATCCTCTTACGCAATGAGGAATGGCAGAACCGTCAACATGAAAGCCTCATAATTGAAGGTTGCAGAGCCACTGTATGAGAGGTCCTTCTCCCTGAATTTCTCAGTCAGTCCCTAAAACAAGATGATAAAATATTTTCAATTGTCACTCCAGGAAATAGAGAAGTAAATATATAACCATAGAGAGAGGGAGTTTATCACAGATCATGAACCAAGGCACAGCTGTGAACGGTGGTAATGACAATAGTAAATGACCATAATGTGGATTCAGCTTTTACCTTAACAGTAAGGCAGCACCTGCATCAACCAAGATGTAAAGATAGTTAGATATTAGCACACATTTTGAGATGACATTCAAACGCTTTATAATTTTAAAATATAAAAATGGTAAAGTGAAAACATACTCAATAAAGTTATCATATTCAATGGACTTGTTTTTGCCTCCAGTTTTATCAAACTTGGACACAAGCAATTCCAAAACAACTGGGGAGACTGCAAATCCCAGGCTCAATAGTGCATCTCTCAACTCGTTTGTATCTATTCTGCCACTCCTGTCCTTGTCAAATTTCTCAAAGATGGCCTGAAACAACCATAGGTTGAATTCAATTCAATAAACAAATAAATTCAAAGGATTTGTTCTCTTTCTTTATTTTTCTTTAGTGAAAAGTGCTGGCACAGTGGCACTGGCAGAAGGAAGTTGCTGGGAATTCAAAGTTCGAACCACAGTCTGAAGTCAAATGACTTACCCTCCAATTCTGAAGACTGTAAAAAAGTGAAGTGAATTCCTTGGGCCCTGCATTTAGAAATTTGTTAATATTAACAACTCAATAGTAAGTCAGATTAATCAAAATTCACAAATGAAATGAGTCCAAACACAGAAATGAAAGTACAATATGAAAGAACGAGATGGCCTTATAAAAACAAAAATACCTCCAAAACTAAAAATGCTAAAAGGAAATGGTAAAACCAGAAGGAAACTTTGACAAAATTAGGATGGTCATTCCAGCTTGCATCAATCTCCTTTTAAAAATAGGAGTCAGGTGGGAGTGACAAGTTGGCCAAAAAAGGTGGGAATAAATAAATAACAAAAAAGTGGCAGTGGGTGGAAATACTTATTCCCCCCCACTTATTAAGGCCTAAGACAATTCCACCTTTTATCTTTCGAATATCTTCCCCTATGTTTACCTTTTTTTCATATGATAACCATGACTAGCTATTCTGTAAAACCAAACGTGTCAATAAGAATGAAAATCCATCCCACTTGTAGAAAAATAATAATTAGACACAAACAACTTCCTCTTAATCAAACATACCCAAGGTGATGTTAGCCCCACAAAAGCATGGCTGCTAACCACCTACAAACCCATGCATCACCTAAACCTCATTCAGATTGATAAAACGTAAAAATTTGATTTCAACATTAAAATCAAATAAACAAACTAAATAGATTATACGTTCTTTTAAAAGTTCGCATATTGGGGTGGGATGATTCAAACATTTGGGTCAGACACACATCGCAATGGTAAATTACTCAAAGCTAATCTTCTTCCTACAGAAAGAAATTCATAGTTCTAATCATTACATCAATTACCTCCCTAACCCACTAAGATTATAATAAATAAATAAAATGACCCCTCTTTGTTCATTGACTTCAAGTAGACGTCTAAAATCCTATTATAAATTAACTAATATAAATACGTACCTTTTTTACCATATCCATGATGGACAACAGGAGATAGTCATTTCCTTCTCCAAAACCCTCCCAACCCAGTTTTGAACATGAGAACTTTAACTTAAGGCAACGCCAAAAGAAATTAAAACATTAATATGTTAATCTTATTCCGTTTATTTATTCAACAGGCTTTCATTTGTCAACCTACCAGCTACCTCTACTTAAATAATTACTAAAAGAAGTATATAAATCCCCTGTTCTACCGCCCAAACTGCACTAAATTGTTAACAAGGTCTATTAAATGGAGAGGCGCCGAATATCAAGGGGCATACCTACCCACATGGTTATGGTACACTTTTTCATATTAAAAACTTAAAAGCAAAATCATTGCAGCCAAATTTCAAACCAAAGCGTCAATGGATATACTAGTTGCTTTGCAAAACACGTGTCTACACCAAAAGAATGGGGACAAAAACGTGATTCTAACAGGGGTACTTTGGGCATTCCGTTGACGGTCAACACCGGCGTAAGTTTGCATCGTGCGACTATACCTCACGCGCCGTCGCACGCGCAACCCCTACCATCTCTGAAGCCGTAACGGAAAGTAAAGCACTCCAGAAATCAATCACGCAATTTGAATTTCAAGAAGATAATTCGAATTATGAATTCAGAAAAGTAGTTACCGATCTTCCCGGCGTTGCTGTTGGTGAAGAGAAACATAAGGAGATGAACAGTCCTAAAACTGAAGCTCTGATTGTATGAGGAGAGCGCTCGCTGCAACTCCTTATCATCGATAAGCCCGCTCCCGTCCGCATCTGCTAGTTGAAAACAAGCCACGATGCTAGGATCCGTGCCGGGAGGGAACTGAGACGGCACCAGAGCCGCGAACGGGCTCCCATACTGCGCCGCAGGTGGGTAGCCTGTAGGAGCCGGAGCAGGACTGGAACCGTAGGACTGAGGCTTGTCCTTGGGCGGCTTTTCCCCCGGGGGAGGTGCATAGGGCGCGGAAGGAGCACCGTAAGGAGCTCCGTATGATGCGGCACCGTAAGGATGGGAGGGGGCGCCGTAAGGTGTGGAGGATTGAGGCTGCGGCGCGCTGCCGTAGGGCGCCGATGAGTAGGGCTGCGATGAGTAGGGCTGAGCAGGTGGCGGGGGTCCGTAGCCGTAACCGGGCGGGGGTTGAGGGTATCCGCCGGACATGTTGAGACCCTAAGGTGGAGGAGATCAGAGATATTCGAGTATTGAAGAAGATATTTTTTCGAATGACGTTAAATCGAAT